CCACCCCAGAGCATCCCCCAGCTCTGATCCGCAGCTCCTGGGGCTCTGGGTGCAGGCAGAGGGTGGGAGGTGATGATTTTTCTGTAWCAAGGCAGCAGGAGGCCTTAAACAGCCCCTCTCCATGTATTTCTGTGKCTGTGTGTGCACCCATGGGTGCCTTCTGCACATCCACAGCCACCTATCCTCGTTTGTGGCCTCAATTCATCAAATYCATCATTGCCTTACTACAGCTCCCCCAGCCCCCATCCCAATATTTTCACTCACCGTACTTTAAAGAGCTGGAAATAGCTTGTCAGATGGAGACAGCTCTTGAGAAGTTTAATTTTCCTAATGCTTGTTGGAAATCCCCTTTCTGAATCTGCAGGAATATTAAGGTTCTTAGGGTGAGCTGTGCAGAGAGGGAATTTGCCAGTGAAGCTGTCAGGGGGTTGGRGAGGCCTGATGGACAGTGGGGTGGTGCAGGGTGGGTCTGGGGGAGGGAAGGGTGCCCTGGAGCCCTGGGGGCAGGATTGGAGGGGTGTTTGAGTGCCAACCATGGGGCTGGGGAGCAGGGAATTAACCCAAATGAGAGCAGAGGCATTTACAGGCAGTGGRAACAGTTGTGATGGTTTTTGCTGCTGGATTGCTGGGTCACTGTTCCTGTGACAGGAGGTGTCCCTGCACCCAAACCAGGACAGCCAGGACCCCTGTCCCATTTTGGGGTGCAGGGACAGAGTTTAATGAAGCTGGAATGAAAGCCTGGGCCTGTAATTCCTCCTCCTCCCCTTTTATCACCTGCTCTTTTCTTGTCTCAGTGAATTACTGACATTAAAYGCAGCAGTTCTGGCTGTTCATTGTTCCTGCTCTGCCGTGTGCTGGAGTGGCACCTTTGTGTTCCCCCAGCCCTCCCCATCTCTCAGATCTGCAGCTCTCACAATGGTTATTGTTGTGGAAGGGACCTGCAATGAGCTCCTGCATTATTCACTTCATTTATTTGGATACAATATTTGGAGCCACTTCATTAAATTCTCTCACAATATCCTGTCGTTTTTTCCCCATCTCTTTGCCAATGCCTGCCTTGAGCAGATAATGCAGCAACAACAATATGGGGTGTGGGGAGGTGGGGAATGAATTTGTTCTCTATAAAAGGGGCTAGTTATGAATTATTTGACTTCCTGACCTTAGGATTCCCTCTCTCTTCCATTTTTCCCCTCAAAAAAACCAATCCAGAGAACAACAAGCCTGAAATATCATTTTTGGGTAGCAGATATAGGCAATAAAAACTCAGGGCAATTACACCCTGGGCAGAGAGAAAAAGCTGCAGCTTTGGGGGCACACAGGGAATGCAGAGGACAGCAGATATGAACAGCAGTTATTTGCAGCACTGAGAAAGGAGCACTGCCTCCCTCACCTCTGCTGGTTTCATAAATGAGATAGATCAGCCTCAGGAATTATTGTTGGGTTTTTTTTTTTTGTTTTTAACGTTCCAAACGCTGTGATCTGAGGAGGGGCTGATGGCACACAGACTCTCAGGGATTGGCACTGTTTTCCTGGCACTGCAGRGTTTGTCAGAGGTGTCAGGGGCTTTTCTCAGGTGTGGATTGCAGATTGYTCCAGGGGAAGGCTTTGGCTCAGCAGTGCAGGCTCTGCACCGAGCAGGATGGATTTTGAAAAGAAACTTCTGTGTAACAGAGATCAGAAAATTAACACCGTGCAATTCCTGCCAGTGAGGTGGGATTTTCTGGGATTTCCAACCTGCCTCCTCACAGCACCAGTCCAACAGTGTTTAAGGTGCAAAGGCGCAGCAGGGTGAGCAGATCTCAATCCTCTATCTCCAGCAGGGTG